AACTTTCACCGTCAGCATCCCATGGCAGCTTCGGCCTTGTCCAAAGGTCACCAGGATCTGAAGCTGGAAGACCTGTCATGCACACAAAACAAGAAGGGAACTACGATGTGTGTTTACCCACATGTGTGTGCCCAGCCCCCTTCAGGACCTCCATAAGGAGCCCCACACTCACTCCGCTCCATGACCTGTCACTCTGCTGACAGATATTCCTTCCTGTCTTACTCTTCTGGGTCATAAGTCCTTCTCTTTGGATGCACACAGCCCCCAAATGAGTAATATCTGAATCATTCACAACATGAATTAGCATGGTAGAGTTGCCAAGAGCCAGTCACTCAGATGTGGAGGCTTTAAAGAAGGAACTTCTCTAGTCTCCTTCAGACTGCACTTGCTGCTCTACTCAGAGTTTTCACTTCCTGTGTGACTGCTCAGAACTTTCTCCTTTCTGCAAAGGGCACTGTGGGCTCCTGGAGCCAGGGATCCCTCTTCTTTCTAGAGCTCCAGAACCCAGCACAGAACCCAGCCAAGGCAGGAGGGCAGCCAGCATCGGGCAGCAGGTATGGGCTATGTCTGGGAAAGGCAGATGATTGACGAGGCCAGGAACAAACAATCCTCCATGAGGTGATGGCTCTGTCCATTTTATGCCCGATTCATGGATATCGCCAGGTCCCCAGCCGTGCTCACCTTTTGAGCTTGGCCTTTGAGTCCCTGGGATGGCGCCCATAGCTGACCCTGCCCATCGATGGAGAAAGGTCCAGGGAAGTACGGAGGGTCCTGGGCACTGGTGATGTTCATCTGACAGGAAAGAGATGCTGGAGGCCCCCTTCTCTACCACAGTGCCCCCAAGCAACCCTGTCAAAGTCCCCCAAGAACCCAACAGGTATCTGCCCACTCTCAAATCTGTACTCTGCCACTGCTACTTTAGCCTGGGCTCCCCCGGCCCTGATCCAAAATCATCTCTGCTTTTAAACTACTCAGTTTTTAAACTACATTTCTTTGGGGGATTGCAAAAATGATACAGAATTTTTTTTTGGAGAATTTAGAACACAGAAGAACTTTAAAGAACTCAACCCTTGAGAAGTCCCTATGGGAACAGCCATAGTCACTGGGGGTTGGGAAGCCCTCGGTGGCTCTCTCCAAGAACATGCATCCTGCAGAGGCCCAGCTATAGACTAAAGAGTCCTTCTGGAGACTATTCTTGGCCAGGCAGGGGCTGGCCTTGGTCTTCCCATCCCCCTCCATCCTACCCCCACCCCCACCACTGCCCACATGCAGGCCTCACCTGGGCTCCCTGGCCTGGGAGCAGCAGAGTGTACAGCGGGGTCCCAGGCGTGACAGTTTCTCGAACCTGAATAATTTCCCCAGCTGGCCAGAGGGGAGGTCAAGGAAGTTCAGGCCATGCCTGCCCACCGCCCCCCACCCCCACTCCCGCCTGCTGCCTCTAGTCTTACCCGGGCTGGCAAATCGACCAGCACACTGGTCACGATTAGGGTCCCGCTGAACATTCACAGAAAGCCGACCCTCCGTCACTTGGCTCCCACATGTGTACTTCAGCTGCAGCTCATAGTGGTTCACTGTCAGGGCATCCAGCCGGGCCAAGCTGCTCAAGGTCATCTGTGGCAGGTGGGCAGTGCCATGTGGGGCTGAGGATCTCCATCCCCCAGCACCGCCTCTAGGGGCTTCCCTAGTGGCTCAGACGGTAAAGAATCTGCCTGCAGTGCAGGAGATCCAGGTTCGATCCCTGGGTCGGGAAGATCCCTGGAGAAGGGAATGGCAACCCACTCCAGTATTCTTGCCTGGACAAGAGGACAAGAATTCCATGGACAGAGGAGCCTGGCAGGCTACAGTCCATGGGGTTGCAGAGTCAGACATGACTGAGCGACTAACAAGTTCACTTTCACACCACCTCTAACTTTGTGAATTTAGAGTCTGCCCTTCCCCCACTGTCCCCAGCTGTGCCCATGATCCTACCTTGCCCACATAGATCCCCTGCCACCTGGTCAGGCTAGGTGGGTTAAAGAAGGTGGTGGGTGGCTGTACACGGAGCAACTCCAGGGTTGGTACATTTGAAGAGCAGTTGAGGGAGAAAGACTGGAGGATGGCACCAGGTCCCTGGCTCTCAGAGACATCTACGAACCAGGACAGGCAGTAGAGTTCTGTGAAGAAGAGACGATTCAGGCTAGAGACCCCCATGCTCATAGAACCAGGTACACAGAGTCCTTCCCTTGCCTTGGGGCCTGGCCACATCTTGGAGACAAGCAGCCAAAGTCTTCCCTTGTCCCCCACATCCAACCACGGATTGGCTCATTTCACAGACTGGGGCTAGGTCTTGTCTTTCCCACTGTCCCCAGGGTAGGGGGAGAGTGGGAACTTGGGCGAGGAAGCAGCTAAGATAAGGAATGAGAGTCAGGGGTTCAGATCTTTGCCCTTTCCTGGCTCCCCCCAGCCCCTGTCCTCTATGGTAGCTTATCTGAGAGGGAGTGGGACTCCACTGTGGACTCAGGGGGTGAGACGTGAAGTTCCCCCACCCACCAGCTCCTCACCAGAGACAACCAAAGCAAGAAGAAGCACCAGGGGCCTGAGCAGCACCATAGTGGCCTGAAGACACGACAGCAGAGGAGACTCCAGAAGGGCAGACGTGTTTTGTCAGGGCTACCCTGTTGCCAGGTCTGTTGTTCAAACACAGGACTCCTTGGCCTCCAAGATTCTAGCCCCACCCAGCCCTTGGTGACTGAGCTCTGGACACTATAGGTTATCAAGAGACCTGGAAAACTCCATTTTTTCACTGCTCCCAGTGGATTTCCCTGTTTATCACTACCACGTGAAGGAGATGTGAGGGGAGAGAGACCAAGCTTCAGATAGGGAAACTAAGGCTCCAGGAAGTCTTGGTCATGCAGTTCTTGGAGACAGAGTACCCACAGCAGCCACTTTGCCAGGAAAAGTGGGCCCAAGGCCTTCTACCCCACAAAACCCGAACTCCAGCTGCTCACCCCCATTAGAACATTATCTGCCTGTGAAATCTGAGCCCAACCATCAACAAAATCTCTCAAAATCTGTCTACATTCAACAGACAAAAGGTATCCTTGGTGATAGAAATAAAAATGGTGGTTACTTTGGGGCATAGCAATTGGAGGGGACAAAATGTGGCCTCCTGGAGTGGCTGGTGATATTCTATATCTTGATCTGGGTGACACAGGTGTCTACAGATTTTAACATGCATAGAGCCATACCGTTAAAGAGCTGTTCATTCATCTTATTTACATTACATGCCAGTTTTTAAAAGGTTGTCTTCACACGCTTTCTCCAGCTCCTCACCTCTCTCTTTTCTACCCACTATGTTTGAGCTCGTTCCTCTCCCCATAAAAGTGCCCTTGTCAGGGTCCTCAGAGACCTGCCAACCGTCCAGCAGTTTACGCTCTGTTCTCATCTCCTCGGCACGCGTCTGATGCTTGCTCCCCTTGGCTCCTAAGTGCCCAGGCTCTCTTAGTTGCCTCCCACCTCCCTGGCAGCTCCTGCCCAGCTCCTTTGCTGGTTCTTCATCTTCCCTACCTCCACCCAGTGGAGTGTTCCAGGGTTCATTCCTGTCTGCTGCCATCCTCTGTCCACATGTCCACAAATGACCATTTGATTTTCTTCTCCAAGACCACTCTTTTCCATTCTTGCTTGGTTGATTCGTGCCAAGGCCATCCAATCAGTAGTTTAGCCCGCAAGTCTAGGAGTCATGCTTCATGCTTCTCTTTGTCTTCCCATACTCATGTATCAGCAAGCTTGATTTTAACTCCAAAATATACTTCAAAGTATGTTGAGGTATGTTTGTACTAGACCTACCCAGATCCAGGCCCTCCCTTCCCTTGATGGATGAGGCAGGAGCCTCCGCTCTGACTACAGAGTGGTTCTCCCAAATCAGCGGTTATCTAAACAGCAGCCAGCCCAGGTCATTCCCTGCTCAAAAGCCCCCTAGAGCTCCCTACCACACCAAGAACAAAACCCTTTATTCCCTTCTAAAACTGCTAGGAGCCTGGTTTTGCTGACTTCTTCAGTCCCCCCCCAACTACCACCATCAGAAATATCTAGGCCTTCCCTGGTATTTTCCTCTCTACTGACTTATCTAGTTTGTCTCCAGTTAGTCTGTGTCCTTGAACCTAGGCCTAGCCACAGCAGGGAACGGGCTCTAATCCTTTGGTCAAAGAACCCCCGGCGGTAACGCCCTGCGTTCACTCAGCCTGCCTGTGGTCCGCGATAGACAGGATGCGGGTATTGGGAATCCCCACGAGAGGGCAGCCCTGCTTAGCTCGGCCGAGGTGAGAGATAGAGAGTGGGAGGTTGGGCCTTGGCCGGGGCTCCTCCCCGGTGCTGCAGCGAGGTTCTGCGCTCCCTGAGTCCTCAGAGGGGCCGGACCCCTCCCATGACTTCCAGGGACTGTGGAGGCCGGCTCCAGGAGCGGATTCAGTGGGTCGGACCACGAGTGGGCCACAGCACTGCCGAACCCGACGATTGGGCCCGATCTACCCGCTCAAGGGCGCAGCCGCGGTACCCGTGCCCTCCAGGGACCCCTGCGGGAGGGACCACAACTGTCCCCTGGGAAAAATGGGAAACTGAGGCTACCGCAGGGGTGCGACTTGTCCTGGGAGTCAGCTCAACGGCCCGGGACTTCGGGGAGTACTGGTCCGGATCTCGCCGGCTTTCCAGCTACAGTCCCGCCCTTCCCCAGAAGAGCTGCTTCTAGGGAGTGGGTAGTGGGCGTCAGGTTCTCCCACCCGGCAGGGCCCCGGGGGTGGAGCCACACCAGCCCCGCCCCAGCCCCATTGGCTGCGGCGCCAGGGGCGGGGCGGGGCCGCCAGATGTTGGGGCGGTGGCGGCGGCAAGAGCTGGGGAGAGGGAGGAGCCGTGGAGCCAGGCGGAGGGCAAGGGCGCCGCTGGCCGGCCCGCCGGGCCCTCTCCGCACGGCTCTCGCCGGAGTTCGAAGAGGAACTGGCAGGCCTGGAGGGGGCTGCGGCACGGACATGCACAGCGCTCGGCTTGACAGTTTCCTGGGCCAACTGCGCTGGGAACTGGTGAGGCTTGGGGGCGGGCGTGGCTCGTGAGGACGTGTGTGGGGTGCTCGGCTGCCTTCCTACCCGAACGACACTCGGATGGGGGGGAGCTGTCCCGAGTGCCCATCCAAGACAGGATGGGGGCGGGGCGGCGTAGATGGCCCAGATGGCCCGCGTCGGGTTTCGGACGATTGGGAGCTGCCCTGGGCATCAAGTAACAGCCGTCCAGCTGGCCGTGCTGCCGGCGCAGCGGAGGAAGTTGTGGGGGAGAAACTTCTTGTGGGGCGGAGCAGGGGGTTTTAAGGAACTAAAGAGGTGGTGGCGCTACTACCGATGCCCCTTATTCCAGGCTGGTCTGTACCTCTTGTCTTTCCTGGAAAGTGCTCTTTTCTTCTCTGAAAGAGGCTGCGGGCTTTGGGGAGCTGAATCCCTCAAGAGGTACAGGATGCCCCCCCCGCCCCGCCCCAGCTCTGAGCAAGACCTACTTCCCCATGCAGGCCCACAACCCTGCCTCCCGCCCTGGTGGCGGGTACCAACTTGCCCAGCTCTGCGTGCTGCAGCCTGCCGGACTGCCACCAGGTCGGCCAATGGGAGCCACACGAGCTTCGTGTGCCAGTGCCCCACGCCGGCCCGGTGCCCGCTAGAGGCCTTGCTGCTGAGGCCTGCAGGCCTGTCCAGCCCTCCTGGGCCTTCTGTTTTGGAACTGGCCTGACCCAGGAGGCCGGAGTGACCAGCACTGCTCCTACCACTTCTGCCCTCTCTTCTTCCACAGCTGTGTGGCCGGGACTCCGGCTCACCCCCAATGCCTGGTCCCCTTCCTCCACCCCCCAAACACCGCCCAGGCGTGCGGCTCAAGCACCAGCTCAGGGCCTCAGATGCATTGGAAGAAGACTCGGTCTGTGGTGTGGAGGAAGAGGAGGAAGAAGTTGGGGTGACAGGAGACAGGAGTGCAGCCTTGGGGGGCCCCAGGGAGCATGGCCTGGACTGGGACTCCGGCTTCTCAGAGGTGTCGGGCAGCACATGGAGAGAGGAAGAGCTGCCCATACCCCAGCACCCAGCACCCTCGGCATGGCCCCCCCGAAGACAGCGCCTCTCAACCAGTGGTGTCGCCCAGCCTGGCGGAGCGCCTGTGGCCCGGGTACCACCTGTCCACCGACCACGGCCCAAGTCCACCCCAGACGCCTGCCTGGAACACTGGCAGGGGCTGGAAGCCGAGGACTGGACCACGGCCCTGCTGAGCAGGGGTCGTAGTCGCCAGCCCCTGGTGCTGGGGGACAACTGCTTTGCGGACTTGGTGCACAACTGGATGGAGCTGCCCGAGGCAGCGGGTGAGGGGGACGATGGGGGTGGGCCCCGTGCCCGTGCTCGGCCCCCCCAGTTCCTGCTGGGCCTCTCTGAGCAGCTGCGGCGCCAGCTGGCCAGAGCGCGCCGGGCAGCGCTGGCAGGAAAGCGACTGTCATGCCCACCTCGCCCGGAACCTGAACTACCTACAGATGTCTCACGCTTTGCAGCCCTCATGAGTTGCCGCAGTCGGCAGCCCATCATTTGCAATGATGTTGTCAGCTACCTCTGATCCTGCCCTCCAGCCTGGGACAATAAAGGCCTTTCTCTGGACAGTCCTGGTTCCGTACCCCACGAGGCTCCAGGAGGCAGCGCCAGCCCTGCAAGGCACGATTCAGGCAGGCAAATCGAAAGAGCCTTTTCCCTCCCTGCAGGAGTCCTTGTCATGCCTGTGTCACACGCCATGCGTCTGTTCCATCACCTGTTCTGTCCACTGAACACCTTCCTTCAACAAGCATTTATTGAGTGCCTACTGTGGGCTTGGGATGCAGGGCTCGGGACGTAGGGCTCGATGGAGCTGGGTGGTGGGGCTCCTGCCTTGTCACAGCTTGTAGTGCAAGCGTGGAAAGTTAGTGTCATACTCCTCACCCTCGTAGCCAAGTTCCAATACCAGCACTCGTTGCCCAGGCACCTTCTTCACCAGATCTGTCACGCTGGTGGCGTGGGGGGAGAGAGGTGGGGAGATTGGGTAGATGAGCCGTGACAGGCAGAGAGTGTCCTGGCATGGGCTCCAGGGTGCTGGGGGGGCCATAAGGAGCCCAAGCCAGGAGCAGGAGCAGCCCAAGACAGGAAACATCTGAAAACTATTTTAGGAGCGGCTGGCGGGGCAAGCAGGAGGCAGGAAGCTGTGAGTCCCCTGGGAGTGGGCCGTGAAAGGGGAGCTGAGGAGGGTGTGGAGGAGCTGGTGGGGCTGGCCAAGCAGGCAGCTCCTAGAGGCCCCTCCTAGAGGGCTCCTGGCCCTTACCCCACCCCCAGCCCGTTTGCTGGCTCCATTTGGCAAAAGAAAACTTCAGGAAGGTGTGAGGGGCCCAAATGGGGTTGGGAGGAGGAGAGGCTGCAAGTCCCTCACCTCCAACCTCCAGGGCCTGGTTAAAGCCAGGTGCGGGCTCACCTGTGGGACAGGTGCTGGGCCTGTTTTTCCTCAGACCATCCTGCTGAGTAGAGCAGGGTCGACCCATGCAGGAGCATCGTCACCCTCAGTCCTTGGAGCTCCTAGACAGAGACAGGTCAGGGGCCAGCAGGGCCAGGCGGAGCCAGGCCTGGGAGCAGGGCAGAACTGAGGCACACCTGGATGAGGGCCAGCAACGACCCCAGGGTCCTCTCGGGCTGCTCAGCAGGCACTTCCAGGCGGTTCCAACAGGTCCACTTCAGGTGATGGAACTGGGGGGTGGCAGTGGGGAGGAGTCAGAAGCGTCTTACACACACACACCCTCTCCCCGCCCCAGTTGCCAATAGCTTATGGCCCCTTTCCTAGGGGAGGAGCTGGACTAGAGGCAGGAAGCAGAAGCCAGGGGGTGGGGATGGAAGGTGGGATATGGGCCCAGAATCTCAACACCCTCCCTGCCTGTGCTGGGACAGGAAATGGGGCTATGGGGCCCCCCGCACAGGGAAACAGGCGATCCATCACACAGGCTGATTGTGTGTGTGTGTGAGTGTGTGTGTGTGTGTATGTGTGTGTGTTGGAGGGGGGGCAATGCTTCCTGAGGAAGTGAGGAAGCAGGAGCAGGGCTGCTGCAATCTCTGATAAAGCTGCCTATTCCTCAAATGCAAGGCTGGAAGAGAGGGTGGGGGGCGGGTACATCCGGTCCCCTAATCCTTTACCACCAGGACCTTGTACTTTCTCACAGACACATGGGTGAGGGGCACAGTGACTCCAGCAGGGACACAGTCCACAGAGGACTCTCTTCCTGTCCCTTTGTTCCTTGCTTCTTAAGTCTTGGGGTTCTGGTACCCAGAGCTGAGGGCATAAGGGTGGCAGGCAGCCAGGGACCAAGACTAGAGGGGTTCTGCCACCTCCCCAGAAAACAGTGAGGTCAAGCTGAGACAGGACCAGAAGTGATGTGGGGGACCCTTCCCCCTCCTCCATGGACAAAGGCAGCTTGTGTTCTAGCTAGAGGAGGGGCCCTCACAAAAGGGCTCTGTGTGCTGTGCCCTGAGGGACCCCAGGGCTGCTCAGCCTAAGCCCAGTGCCGGCCCATGACCTCTCCCCTCTGCTCTGGCGAGAGAATTCTCTCCAGACCCTCTCCTGTGCCCCCTAAGGAAACGCCAACTTTTGCAGAGCCTGGGCACACAGCCGGGGCATTCACAGCCCAACACTTGAAGAGAACACACATGCACACAAGCCCACATGTGTACTCACAGGCAGAGCCATGCAGGCCCACATCGTGCAAGGGCCCTGCAGTCTCCTCTGGCACACAGATGTGCAAGCATGCTCCCTCCATGGCCACACATCACGAGGCCAGGGATGCCCAGACCCGGGTGCCGTCACACTTGTGACAGGAATGCACACCCTGTGACCGGGTTGCACACCACCACACCCATGCTGGTGATCTCAGTGCCCTTTAACTCAGTTGAGGGGGGCGGGCGAGGATCCCCATGCCTGGCAGCCTGACGTTAGGCTCTGTTTAGGGCTTGGGCCCTAGTCCCCCCTCCCCCTCAGGGAAGGAGGGGACGGTGGGGGATGGATGTCTGGCTCCACTAATGAGTTAAAGCTGCAGCTCCCCCAGACCCGGAGGGTTGGGGGTTGGGGGTGGCTGACGGCTGCTTCCTGTGTCTGACAGGTCCCAGCCTGGCTGTGCAGCAGGAAGGCGGCTGAAGGAAGTCTTGAGGACTCCCCCAGAGTCGGTCCTATGAGAGCCTGAAGCTGGAATAGGGCCTGTTTGGGTAGGTGCAGGCAAAACTCAGGTCTGGTACAGGTGGGGTGTCCAGGGCTCACCTCCTGGATGTCTGGGGCCTTAGGTACCCAGCGGCTAAAGTAGTTTTCAGCCAGGTGCAGATAGCTGTGGCGAAAGGCATGGAGGGGCCGTGATCCGCCCACCACCTTGTACAGCTCCAGGCCTACCAGGCCAGCCACGGCCGCCGTAGTGGTGACAACGGCTGGGATAATCCGGCCCACAATTCGCTTGGTCTGCCAAGGACAGGAGATCTGATCTGGGCCCAAGGCCTAAGGCTAGGGTTTGACCCACCACCTCCAGGCCTGAGCCCCAAGAGGCAGGTTACCTCGGCGTGGCCAGCCGCTGGGATCCCATAGTTCTGAGCTCTCAGGCTGGCCGCTGCCACCACGAAATCCACGTGGAAGTTGCTGTCATTGTCCTGTGAGACCCAAGACACAGTCATGTGAACACTGTCCCAGTGCCCCGAACCCATGCCACTGCACAGGTCTTCACATGAATTTGTGGGCTGGAGGCTCAAATCGCCCCACTTAACAGGTAAGGAGACGGAGGCTCAGGGAAGCTGAGCTGCTTCTGGGCTCCTTCAGGGAGGAAAACTCAGGCCCACTTCAAAGCTACCTACTTAGCTCTTGACCTTCCTCATCAGCCTCTCTGGCCCAGCCCTTCACTCCCGCTTGGGTTCCTGACCTTCTCAAATGTCAAGGGTTCAAGGGGAGGGCCCTTCCTCCAGGTCTTCAGGTCTTCATGCAGTTGCTTACAGCCTGTTGGAAGGAGGAGGAGAAGGGTTGAAGCAGTCCTTAGCCTTCCGAGTCCTATACTCTTCTTGAGCCTGCCTGCCTATCCTTGGTCCCTGCCAAGTCTATCACTTACCACTTTCAGGGAGACCCCTTAATGGATGGTGCAATCTCTTCTCTGGCAGCCCCAGCCCTCAGGTATGTGTGCCTGCAGACACACATGCACACCTGTGTGACCCTGTCCTCATCTGGGGCACCACACCTCATTGCTCCCCAGGGCCCAGTGGTTTGTGGGTTTTTTTCCTTTGCTGAGAGTTGGCCAAGGGAATGGGGTGGGGAGGATGGTAAATAGGAGAGAGAGGACCTACTCTGGGACCAGGGGATGAACCCAAGGCTAGAGAAGAGCAAGGTCAGAGGGCCTGATAGGTTGTGACTTGGCTTCAGGGCCCCCCGACCCATCTTCTTCCTGCAGCACAGGCTGAGGAAGCTCAGGCCTTTGGGTGGCAGCATAGAGGGGTCAAGGCTGGGGACCTCACCAAACTCACCAGAAGGCGAATCCAGCTCCAGCTCACTAGCAAAAATGCGGTCCAAGTTCTGGGGGTCAGGCTGTGGCAGCAAATTCAGTAGTAGCCTGAGCGCAGTCTGGTCCTGTGAGCCAGGCAGCCCATGCATCTGGGCATATAGGTTGGCAGCTGCCAGCACATAAAGGAGGTGAGTATCCTGCAATGAGACCCAGAGCAGGGGTGGCTGCATGGGCCTGAGTGAGAGTGTGTGGGTGTGTGGGGCGGGGGTCATCGCCCACTTGAAGATCTGTTGGAGGGCCTGCCTCCCATGTGGACACCCACATGTGCACAGACATGGCTGGCTCCCTCTCAGCATCTCAGCATCGCTACAAAACAACAGAGGTGCCCACCTGTGCCCTGAGGGGCCGCATTTCCATCTCAGGGCTGCCAAGGGACCCCACTCACTTGGCTGGGATCAAACTCCAAGGGCTGAGGACACTGTTTGGGACCCGACCAGAATGGAGCTCCATCCTCCTGCACCTAGGGAAACACAGAGGCTGCCGGTCTCCAGCCGGTCGCCCCCAAACCCTCAGCCTCCCAGCCCCCAGGCACCCACTCTGTCAGGTGGGTAGGTCCTCAGCAGCTGTGTGATGCCATGATGGAAGCGGAGCTGCCAGTGGCCAAGGGCCCACAGCACGCAGTCTCGCCAGGTCTGCGGACGCTCCGTCAGGACACCCCGCATTGTCTGCAGCAGGGGCTGCTTCTGTGACTTAACCAAGTGTTCCGGAGACGAGAGTGCTCTGCGGACGGTTGGGAAAGCTTGAGGCCAAGCCCTGAGCCTCTTGGTGTTAGGGACCCTGGACTCCCATATGCCCGTGTCGGGGGTCTTACTCTGGATGGCTGTTGATGGTCTTGGCAGACTCACAGAAAAGGTCGTCAAACTCACCCTTGGCCCACTGTGGGGGAGGGAGGAACCATGAGGGGCCAGTTAGGAGGTGGGTCTGGGGCAGAGGACTGAGCCAGGTAGGCAGGAGTCTCTGGGGTGCCTCCCACCTGCACAGTGTGCTCGGTTGTGGTGGGAATGTACCGCACGGTGCAGACAGG